AAGGAGCTGTTATTTCAAGAAGAAGGGAGAATGGGTGCAGGGCAGTCAGGAACCACAGAGGCAGCCTGCAGAGGTGAAGGAGATGGTGAGCATCCTCTCTATCTCCCTGCTCCTCCTTGTCTCAGGAGCAGCCTGGTTGCCAGGGTGACCTCCCTGGGCTCCCAACACAGCCTTGGGATTGGGATCCCCAGGCATCCGCTGCCAGCTGAGCCGGCCCCTGCAGCCGTGGTCCCTGTGGCTCAGCTGTGGCCTTCAGCCACATTCTGGGCTGGAGGATGATATGGTGTTTCCATGGAAACCACCCAGTGTCAGTGGAAAGCACGTGGTTTCCATCACCTTCTCATTTCGGGAGGGCCCGAAACAGGGAAGTCCGGGCTGCTGTGGCAACCACACTGGGGTGTAAATGGAGCCTGGGTCCGTGGGGGAAGGCCGGGAGAGGATGTGGGGGAAGGCCGGGAGAGGATGTTCCCCAAGCAAATGCCTCTGGGGAACCCCCTTCTTTCCACGCCTCGGTGATCATCTGTTCATGGGGGCAGAGGTGAGGAGCAGAGATGGTGGGGCAGAAAGATACAAGATCTGCGGGTGGACCGCCCCAGCTATGTGGCAGGGGCCCACCACTAGGCTTCTCTGGGCCCTTCTTAAAGGTGCTATGACCCACTTCAAGGTATAGCCATATGGTTAAAGTGCCAGTAGAGCCGAATGGGTAAAAGCTTGGGTTTTCGAATCAGGCCTGAGTTCAAACCTCAGCTGTTCTACTTGTTGGCTGTGTGACTTTGAGCAAGTTAACGAACCTCTCTGAGCCTCCTTTTCTACATCTCTAGACTGAGGGAATGAGGTCAGTACCCCGACCATAGGTCTGCTCTGGCAATTGAAGTGCGATGCCGCATGAAAAGTGCTTAGCACAGCACTGGTGCAAAGCAAGCATTCGGTCCATGTTAGCCACTGGGCTTGTTGTTACGGACCAGAAAGCTTGGTAAACTAAGAGAGTTCTGGGGAGTAAACAAGAAGCAACATGCAAATGGTTTTATCAAGGGGAAGAGGGCAGAGCGAGGTCCTCAGGCTGGTTTCCCTGGGTTAGTGACGGAGGCCTAGGACCCAGGGCTGTAGGCCCATCCGGAGGATGTGGTTTCTCTGAGCACAGCAGGTGCGGCTGCCTGTGGGGCGCTGGCGGAAGTCCCACGCACAGGATTCGGAGCCAGGCTGTGAAAGTCCCTGCCTGGAAGCACCTGTCCCCTCTCCCTGATCCCCTTTCTCAGGAACTGAGAGGCAGGTGCCCCTGCGCATCTCGGGCCCTTCGCCTGGGGTGACCACAACCAGCCTGTGCATGCTGAGAAGGACCTTGGGCAAGGTCCGCGGGAGAGGCCGGGGGGGCCAGGCCAGGGCTGGCTCCGGGGCCCCATCCCACATGGGGCCGTTCTAGTCCCTGGGGAAAGCCCTGTCCTCAGCCACCTGGGCTGGTTTCCGTTTGCTTCCTTTCGCACAGCTAACTCGTTCCTGAAAAGCTGCTGTAGTGAGGGCCTCAGTTCAGGGCCCCAGTGAGAGGCCTTTGGGGTGAATTCTTTTGATCCTGCACCCCTCACCCGCCTTATTTGTAAATCAGTGTCTCTGGGCATTTAGTGAAAAGCGGTGTGCTTTTCTCTTCTTCACTGTGGGCCTCTGAATTCCTGAGCATGGTGACCAGCACTGCCAGGATGTGGATTCTGTGGGGCCCAGGGCAGGTGTGAGGGTAGACAGGGTGCGTGCATGAGGGCTGTGTTGTACATGCTTGAGGACTGTGGGGTACATGCATGAGGACTGTGGGTGCATGCATGAGGACTGTGGGTGCGTGCATGAGGACTGTGGGTGCGTGCATGAGGGCTGTGTTGTACATGCTTGAGGACTGTGGGTGCATGCTTGAGGACTGTGGGGTACATGCATGAGGACTCTGGGTGCATGCATGAGGACTGTGGGTGCATGCATGAGGACTGTGGGTGTGTGCATGAGGACTGTGGGTGCGTGCATGAGGACTGTGGGTGCGTGCATGAGGGCTGTGTTGTACATGCTTGAGGACTGTGGGGTACATGCATGAGGACTGTGGGTGTGTGCATGAGGACTGTGGTGTACGTGCATGAGGACTGTGTGGTGCGTGCATGAGGACTGTGTGGTGCATGCATGAGGACTGTGTGGTGCATGCATGAGGACTGTGTGGTGCGTGCATGAGGACTGTGTGGTGCGTGCATGAGGACTGTGGGTGTGTGCATGAGGACTGTGGGGTGCGTGCATGAGGACTGTGGGTGTGTGCATGAGGACTGTGGGTGTGTGCATGAGGACTGTGTGGTGCGTGCATGAGGACTGTGGGTGTGTGCATGAGGACTGTGTGGTGCATGCATGAGGACTGTGGGTGTGTGCATGAGGACTGTGTGGTGCGTGCATGAGGACTGTGGGTGTGTGCATGAGGACTGTGGGTGCGTGCATGAGGGCTGTGTTGTACATGCTTGAGGACTGTGGGGTACATGCATGAGGACTGTGGGTGTGTGCATGAGGACTGTGGTGTACGTGCATGAGGACTGTGTGGTGCGTGCATGAGGACTGTGTGGTGCGTGCATGAGGACTGTGGGTGTGTGCATGAGGACTGTGTGGTGCGTGCATGAGGACTGTGTGGTGCGTGCATGAGGACTGTGGGTGTGTGCATGAGGACTGTGTGGTGCATGCATGAGGACTGTGGGTGTGTGCATGAGGACTGTGTGGTGCGTGCATGAGGACTGTGGGTGTGTGCATGAGGACTGTGGGTGTGTGCATGAGGACTGTGTGGTGCGTGCATGAGGACTGTGTGGTGCGTGCATGAGGACTGTGTGGTGCGTGCATGAGGACTGTGTGGTGCGTGCATGAGGACTGTGTGGTGCGTGCATGAGGACTGTGTGGTGCGTGCATGAGGACTGTGTGGTGCGTGCATGAGGACTGTGTGGTGCGTGCATGAGGACTGTGTGGTGCGTGCATGAGGACTGTGGGTGTGTGCATGAGGACTGTGGGTGCGTGCATGAGGACTGTGGGTGCGTGCATGAGGGCTGTGTTGTACATGCTTGAGGACTGTGGGGTACATGCATGAGGACTGTGGGTGTGTGCATGAGGACTGTGGTGTACGTGCATGAGGACTGTGTGGTGCGTGCATGAGGACTGTGTGGTGCGTGCATGAGGACTGTGGGTGTGTGCATGAGGACTGTGTGGTGCGTGCATGAGGACTGTGTGGTGCGTGCATGAGGACTGTGGGTGTGTGCATGAGGACTGTGTGGTGCATGCATGAGGACTGTGGGTGTGTGCATGAGGACTGTGTGGTGCGTGCATGAGGACTGTGGGTGTGTGCATGAGGACTGTGGGTGTGTGCATGAGGACTGTGTGGTGCGTGCATGAGGACTGTGTGGTGCGTGCATGAGGACTGTGTGGTGCGTGCATGAGGACTGTGTGGTGCGTGCATGAGGACTGTGTGGTGCGTGCATGAGGACTGTGTGGTGCGTGCATGAGGACTGTGTGGTGCGTGCATGAGGACTGTGTGGTGCGTGCATGAGGACTGTGTGGTGCGTGCATGAGGACTGTGGGTGCGTGCATGAGGACTGTGGGTGCGTGCATGAGGACTGTGTGGTGCGTGCATGAGGACTGTGGGTGCGTGCATGAGGACTGTGGGTGCGTGCATGAGGACTGTGGGTGCGTGCATGAGGGCTGTGTTGTACATGCTTGAGGACTGTGGGTGCATGCTTGAGGACTGTGGGGTACATGCATGAGGACTGTGGGTGCGTGCATGAGGGCTGTGGTGTACGTGCATGAGGACTGTGTGGTGCGTGCATGAGGACTGTGGGTGCGTGCATGAGGACTGTGGGTGCGTGCATGAGGGCTGTGGGTGCATGCATGAGGGCTGTGGGTGCGTGCATGAGGACTGTGGGTGCATGCATGAGGACTGTGGGGGTGCATGCATGAGGACCTCGGGGTGCATGCATGAGGACTGTGGGGTACATGCATGAGGACTGTGTGGTGCATGCATGAGGACCTCGAGGTGCTTGCATGAGGACTGTGGGGGTGCATGCATGAGGACTGTGGGTGCATGCATGAGGACTGTGGGTGCGTGCATGAGGACTGTGGGGTGCATGCATGAGGACCTTGGGGTACATGCATGAGGACTGTGGGTGTGTGCATGAGGACCTCGGGTGCATGCAGATAGCAGCGGTTCTGCACATGTTCCTTACTGTGGACACCACACACCTACTCTGGCCAGGCTCACAGACACAATCCCTGTTCCCATGGAGCTGACGTTCTCAGGGGGGAGAAGTAGAGGGTGATAAATCCTGGAAACAAATGATCATGTCATGACAATGCTATGGAGAAGATATAAGACAAGGAGGGCTTGGGTGGGTGTGGGGAGGGAAGGGATGCTATTCTGTAGGGTGGTCCAGGAAGGCCTGTCTGAGGAGGTGACATTTGGGCAGAGCCCTGAAGGAAGTAAAGAAGGGAGTCGTGTTAATGTTTGGGGGAAGAGGATTCCAGGCAGAGTGACAGTGAGTGCAAAGGCACTGAGGCAGGAGTGAGCCTAGCACACAGACTGCAGGGAGACCAGTGTAATAGAAACAGAGGAGGCAAGAACAGGACTGAGGTCTGGGGAGAGCAGGGCACAGATGAGGCAGGGCCTTGTGGGCACTGAGAGGGTGTTGGCATTTGTCCTGAATGCCGCAGGGAGCGACTGGGAGGTTTTTCTCAGTGACATGGAAAAATTCACATTTAAAGGGCCCTGCGGCTGCTGAGTGCCAAGTAGACTGCGGGCAGGAGCGGTTGGTCCTGGCTGCACTGAGCATGGCGTGGTGACCGACAGGAAGTGCCAGGGAAGTGGTTGGAATGGAAAATGAAATGCTGTGGCACCGCGAGCATGTCCCCGGGCTCGCGGGTGAGGGAGGGGGAGAGGCGGTTTAAATCGATGTGACCAGAGGTGGGCATGGGTTTCCAGAAGTCAGACCTGACCCTGGCTCTCCTCTCTGCAGGTGAAGCAGGAGATGGGCAGCATCGTGATCAAGCTCATTCGGGACTACAAGGACGGCCAGGAGGACAGCCTGCAGCAGGGCTGGGACTACGTGCAGGCTCAGGTAAGCTGGGTGGGGAGGGGTGGCCAGCATGAGTCTCCCGGCCTGTGGGTATCTGTGTGTCTGGGTCTGGTCGTCTGTGTGCCTGTATGCACCTGACAGACTACGTTAGCGAGCTTGTGTGAGTGTGCATCTGATGGGCTGGGGGCTCCTGGCCCCTCAGCCACCACCACAGCTCTTTGCTCAGGGGCCCCGGGTCTTGGAGGCTGTCCCATGGCTCACAGTGCTCCCACCTGTGGCCAGAGAGCAGGGTTCAGCTCTCAGCCCTCTCACCACAAGCCAGGCTGGCCAGTGTTGGGAACTCTACCTGGAGGTTAAGAAATGGGGTGCCAATTCTGAGTGGAGGCTACCTCTTGGGAGGAGCCCATGGAACTTCTGGGGTAAAAGGAATGTTCTAATCATTGATCCAGGCGGTTAGGCCGGCATGCATATAAAACTCACAGATGGCATTTGTGTACTTTAGTGTAGTATGTGTATTCCACCTGAATTAAAGTGGGAGAGGCAGAGGCCAATGACTGACTACCAGAATGAAGGACTACGTGACAGACAGACTGGCATGCTGACTGAATGACTGATGGAATAACTGACTGACTGACTGAATGAATGAATGGCCATCTGACTGGGCTCCCAGCCTGCCTTGGTGGTGAGCCAATCATCACACACACATCGGCTGTGATCAGGTCCCGGCGGCCGGCTCTCTCGTGGGCCCTTGGCCAGGGCCCCTCCTCTGGGCAGCAGCCTCCTCCTCTCCCCTGAGGACACTGGGCACAGCAATCACACAGGACCTGCTGGCACCGAGTGACAGCCGGAGCGTCTGGACACGGAGGAGGGACTTTGTCCAGGGGACGTGGGCACAGTTTTCTGAGCTGGGAAAAGGGGAGGGTGATGTTTTCTGGCCCGAGTGCCTCACAGACTTCCTGGTGAGGACCAGGTGAGGACAGGTAGGAAGGCCTGGGTCACCTGGAGGGCTGGGCACACACAGGAGGCTGCTGTCATCATACCATTCGTTTGACCCACAATTCCTGAGACACTTTGCTACGATTGGAGGGAGTCGCTGTCCCAGGATGAACAAGTCCCACCTTCCCAGAAGCCTGAGTCCCTTGGGAGCTGAGGAGCATCCCACCCGGGGAGGTGGTTGGCTGGTGGGGGTTCCCTGCAGCTGGCAAGGCTCTAGATCAGTGGTTCTCAACCTTCTGGCCCTTTAAATATAGTTCCTCATGTTGTGACCCAACCATAAAATTATTCTCGTTGCTACTTCATAACTGTAATGTTGCTACTGTTATTATGAATCGTAATGTAAATATCTGATATGCAGGATGGTCTTAGGCGACCCCTGTGAAAGGGTCGTTCGACCGCCAAAGGGGTCGCGACCCACAGGTTGAGAACCGATGTTCTAGATGATTCTGATGTCTGTCAGACATCGCCTGAGAAGGTGGTTAAGTCAGGCTCCTGACAACTGGGATACTAACTCTGCCCCTTCCTGGCCAGACCTTCTCTGAGCCTCAGTTTCCTCATCTATAAAATGGGGCTATTGATCCATACTCATTTGGATATTTATAGTATCATTCGTGGGATGAACTTTTAAAGCCCTTGGGCAGCACTTAGCACTTACGTGGTGGTGTTTTATTCGCCATGCACAACCACTGAGGCACAGGGTGGGTGGGTCAGGGCAGGAGGTCGTGGAGAGGAGGGCTCCGCCTGGTGCAGTACAAGGCCAAGGAAAGCCGCCTCCTTTTGTGGGAGGACCTCCGAGGTGCCAACCTTTCTGCTAGGCAGCGGTTCTCAACCTGTGGGTTGCCGCGACCCCTTTGGGGGTCGAACGACCCTTTCACAGGGGTCGCCTAAGACCATCGGAAAACACATATATAATTACATATTGTTTTTGTGATTGATCACTATGCTTTAATTATGTTCAATTTGTAACAATGAAATTGGGGGTCACCACAACATGAGGAGCTGTATTAAAGGGTCGCGGCATTAGCAAGGTTGAGAACCACTGGTCTAGAGCGAAAGCAGACAGGCAACTGCAACATAAAAAGTACAACCTGAAACCCCAGAACACCCGAGATGCTTGGCTCGCCCCCTGCTGGCCACCTGGCTGCCTGTCAGGGACTTGTCACTGAGAAGGAAGCAGGTGAGGAACTGACCATGTGCTGGGCATGGTGGCACGCAGCTCGCCCAGCTCGCCCAGCTTGCCCATGCAACTCATTTAATCCTCCCAGGGATCCTAGCATAGTGGTTATTGCCATCCCATTCTCCAGGCGAGGAGTCGAGCCCAGAGAAAGGCAGCGCTTGCCCGTGCACAGGGCAGGGCCAGGATTGGAAAGGAGCCCTGCCCCCACTCTGCTGTGCCTTCCCGGGGTATTTCCAGCATGGGCCCAGCCCCTGGCAGTGGGACTGGCCTTTCCTGAGCAATGACTGTGCTCGCCAGACCTGTGCTGGGCGCTCCGCCTGCCTCGTCCCGTTTAGTCCGAGTAACAGGGAGTTAGAAAACGTATTACCCCGTTTTGCAGATGAGGAAACTGAGGTCAGTACTTTGACCAAAGCTGAGCAGCTGGTAGGTAGCAGAGCTGGGACTTGAACCCAGGAGCCTGACTCTAGACCCCACGCTCTTAGCTGAATGCCATCTGCCCTCCTACTTGTCCCCCACACCCGTGTTCTGCTTTTCAACATGAACTCCCCTCCTGTTCTGCTGGTCCTGATTTTTTTTCTTCCCACTGTTTAGCAGTGTATGGCATGTGTTTCCCGAAAGCCCCTTTAAATTCTTCGTGGCTCACAGAAGCCGAAGTGAAACCTAAACTCGAGTCCTGGAGGTGTGGCTGGGACCAGGGAGGCCTAGAAGTAGCAGATCCGAGCCTCTTTCCAGGCGGCCCCACCTCTGCCAGGAGGGCAGCCTGCCTGATGGACCTGGGCATGAGCATCCTGTCCCCTCTCTGCCCAGGGCAAGTGCTGTGGCTGGGTCAGCTTCTACAACTGGACCGAAAATGCTGAGCTCATGAACCGCACCACCGTCACCTACCCCTGCTCCTGCGAGAAGAAGGGGGAGGACGACAGCCCCCTCGTGAAGAAGGGCTTCTGCCAGGTTTCCAACGGCAACGGGACCCAGAGTGGCAACGGGACCCAGAGCGGCAACAGTCCCGAGCAGTGGCCCGTGTATGAGGAGGTACGTAGAGGGCGGTGGGGTCGAGGGGCTGGGCTCAGGGGCACCCAGGCTCGCCTGGGCTCCCGCGCCATCCTTTCCCCTTCCTTCACTTAGTTGTTCCTGCCTTTGATCCATTTGTCTGCTTGCCATTGGTACCTTCATTACCTATTCACTAATATATCTATTCCAGATACGCACAGATGTCTCTGGGCTGGGGGTGGCCCCCAGTGGTTCTGCATGATGGGGTGAGGCGCGAGGCGTGGGTGACGTGGCTGTGTTCTTCCCTCGCAGGGCTGCATGGAGAAGGTGCAGTCGTGGCTGCAGGAAAACCTGGGCATCATCCTAGGCGTGTGCGTGGGCGTCGCTGTCATTGAGGTCCGTGTCCCCTCCCTGCAGCCCTCCCCGTGCTCTGTCCCTGTGGATTGTCCCTGCTGTGCTAATGTCCTGGGGGAGGCCGTGCGGCAAGCCTGGCCTGAGCACTGTCCCGCCCTGACCCTCTGCCGCCTGAATCTCAGGCTGGTCACGAGGCCATAGCTCGCTCTCTCTCTCTCTCTCTCTCTCTCTCTCTCTCTCTCTCTCTCTCTCTCTCTCTCTCTCTCTCTCTCTCTCTCTCTCTCTCTCTCTCTCTCTTATTGATTTCAAAGAGGAAGGGAGAGGGAGAGGGAGAGAGAGATAGAAACATCAGTGATAGGGGAAAATCATTGATAGGCTGCCTCCTGCATGTCCCCCCAGCCTACCCTGGGGATGGAGCCTGTAACCTGGGCATGTGCCCTGACCGGGAATTGAACCATGATCCGGTTCATAGGTTGATGCTCAACCACTGAGCCATGCCGTTGGGCGAGGATCCTCTGACTCCCTGTGTGTGGACCTGGACAGTGGGGTGCTGCCCTGGGGCTTCTGGGGGCTGGGCAGCCCGCCTCCACTGACTCTCGCCCTCCCCCTCAACAGCTCCTGGGGATGCTCCTGTCCATCTGCTTATGCCGGAATGTGCACTCCGAAGACTACAGCAAGGTCCCCAAGTACTGAGGCAGCTGCTGTCCCCACCTCCCTGCCTGTCCCCCAACCTCAGGGCTCCCAGGGTGTCCCTGGCTCCCTCCTCCAGGCCCTCCCCGCACCTCACTGCCAAGGCACCTGTGCGCCCCGTGCTGCTGGAAGTGAGGGGCTGTCTGGGGCCTGGATGCCTCCCTGCCTTTCTGCCTCCAGCCTTGAGCCCGGCTGCGCTGTGGCTCCTCCGCTCGCTGCCCACCAGGGTTCTCTGAGCAACTCAAGGAAAACCCTCCCTGCAGCGTCTCTGCGCAGGTGGGCTGGGTTTCTGCCTGCCTTGGGGGATGTATATATTGTATGGGGGGAAGGGTATTAAAAATGGGGGGCGGGGTAGATAAGGCACCCTGAGCTGTCAGGGGACTACCCACTGCGTGGGTCAACTGTTTTCCACTATAAGGCTTATACCGTTGGCTTTCATATTTTCATTAAAGGTTGTGGGAAAGGGTAAGCTTTACCTGACATTAGGGACGGCACCCCTTCCCCAGGCCTGACCCAGCCCCACCCAGGCAGCTCAGATCTGCCTGGCCCAACTCGTGGGAGCAAGGCCTAGCTGGGCCAGGCTGAAGGGGGCTGGGCCTGGCCCTGGGCTGCTTAGGGCATCAGAGGGGTACGTCCTCGGGGCATGGCACGAGCTGGCCCTGCCTTTGCTGGGACCCGAGCTGTTCAGGAGTGAGTGGGTGAGGCTGTGCTTTGTAGGGCAAGGAGGGCTTCGAGCACCGCTCTGTAAAGCATGCTGCGGGTCTGAAGACTGACGATTAAAGAGGATTTGTAAGAATCTGGTCTGACTTGGGGATGCTGCGTCCCGGGCCCGGGAGGGCCAGAGGGGAGAGAGAGGGTGTGAGTGGAGTGGCTGGGTCTGCAGGGAAGCGTGCTGGCACCCACTACTATCCCCAGGGCAGGGCCCTTTCTCGGCATCTCTGGCCCCCTCTTCAGCCCCGTGCCTTGGTCCATCGGCCCGGCTGCCCATGTGGCTGGAATTGGATTTGTATATTGAAGCAGGTGTAGGTTGTGCCTCTAGGTTCCTGTTTCTGAGACCAGGTGCCCCCAGAAGGTACAGAAAGTGGGCTGGTGAGGGAGGAGTCAGTGAGGCCGCAGGACAAGCCTGGCCTCTACCTGAGCATCTGGTTTTGACAAAGGAAGGAAGCGTTTTGGTCTTAAAGAGATGTGATGGCGTAAGATGTGCAGAATTCGGGAGCTTTAACAATGGAACGTGGACCTTAAAGGAAGCTCTTACTTGTACACGGAGCGTGAGCCCGGCACTCCCCAGGCCTGGCTTCCCCAGCCTGCACCGCGGCTGTACGGCCTGTCACGGGAAGTCCCTCTCCGTTGAGATGGGGGTGGAAGTCGGGGGAAAGGTTGACATAGGAGGGCACTTGCCCCACCATCTCCTCCTCTCCAACCTCTTGGGCCCTGGGAGAGGCGGAGGGGTAGGGGTGGAAGGACTTGCCTCCCTACAGTAGGGCAGCAAGGGCAATGGATGGGAAGTATTCCGGAAGAATCCACCAGGTGGCGCTGCTGCCCCAGCCTAGGAGCCCCGAGTTGTCCTGGTTACTGCAGGTTCCTCACCAGGCTGTGGTCTCTCCTTCCAGTGGGGGCACTGGCGAAATGCAGATGCCAGGGCCTGGGAATTCTGACGCAGCCATTCTGAGCCGGGGACAAGGAATCTGCATTGTTAGCAGCCCACGGAGGTGGTTACTAAATCACATTACTTTATGGTGGTTTTTTTTTTTTAATTGCTTAAAGTATTACAAAGGGTATTACATATGTCTCCTTTTTTTCCCCCACCCTTGACAATCCCCTGGCCTCTCCTATCCCCCAGTGTCTTATGTCCATTGGTTATGCTTATATGCATGCATATAAGTCCTTCTCTTACCCCCGCCCCCCTTCTGCCCCCCTAACCTCCCCGGCCTTCCCGCTGCAGTTTGACATTACTTTAGATTCTCAGGCCCTGATTAGATGTAGCCACAGATGTACCCCAAAGAGAGATGGAGTTGGGGGCCCAGGCCAAACAGCATTGTCTTCAGTGAGGATGTAGGCAGCACACTTCAGTGACAGCCTAACTCCTGATCTGACCCTAATTAATTTCTTGCAAGAAACTTTCTGTGGCTGAAATCAGGGCCAACTCACTTTCAAGCCTGTGGGAGGCGCCAGGCACAGCCTTGGGGGCTGAGGGAGCCTTAAGCTCCATGGTGGCTGTTCTCTGCCATGATCAGGGACCCTCCCTGGAGCTCTTACCATGCAAAGAGGGCTGAGGGCTGCAAGTGACACCATCCGGCTTATTTTATTTATCACCTGCCTCATTCCACAAAGGAAGTACATACAATCCTATATAATAAAACCCTAATATGCAAATTGACCAAACTGTGGAATGACCAGTCGCTATGATGTGCACTGACCACCAGGGGGCAGATGCTCAAAGCAGGAGCTGCCCCCTGGTGGTCAGTGTGCTCCCACAGCGGAAGAACCACTCAGCCAGAAGCCGGGCTCACAGCTGGCAAGTGTAGTGGTGGTGGTAAGACAGGTGGTAAGGAGCAAGGGATCCTGGACTGCGAGAGTTCCGGACTGCGAGAGGGATGTCTGTCTGCCAGCTTAGGCCCTATCCCAGGGGAAGTGGGCCTAAGCTGGCAGGCGGACATCCCCCAAGGGGTCCCAGACTGTGAGAGGGCACAGCCGGGTTGAAGGATCCCCCCCACCACCCAGTGCACAATTTTTGTGCACCAGGCCTTTAGCAAAATATAAAACATAACAGAGAAAATGTAAATTTATGAGGAAGTGTGGTCTTGAATGAAATAAACACAGTTGAATTGCCAACTTGGTGATGGCATATGCATGCCTTGCACATAGTGTGCTCTCCACTCCTGTGCTCACAGCAGACATCACTAATTGATCACTGATCTCTTCTTAGCCCAGATGCTCCCAACCATTCTTATGGCTATCACTCGCTGCAGCCTCAGAATCCTTCTCAACTCAGCACTAGCAATCAATCAGGTCGGATTGCAAAACGAAAGCAGCCACCATCCTTGAGCTCTAGTTGTTTACTTGAACTAAACAGGGTTGGGCAAACCCCATATACAATTTTGCCTCTGAGCTTCCCAGTGGTCAAAGCAAAAAAAGGAACTATTGTCAGTTATACAGCTCTCCTTCCCCAAGGCTTCCTCATGCCTAGCTACTAGGAAGAATGTGGCTGGCTGGAATCTAGAATTCAAACCACCCTCCAACACACAAACCTCAATAGCCTTTCATGACCAAAGCAAAAAGAGCCTACTGTGTGACCTTGTGTTGGTTACTGTCAGTGAGGAAAGGAGTTGTGCCTCTGCCAAGGAGGAACCAGGAAGACCCAGTGGATGCACGAGAAACAGTCGGGGGACGATTTCACATACCATGGTGCTCAGGTAGCACTCGCTCCATCCTAGTCCCACTGACACATGTTAACTGATTTGCTCACTACAGTCCTATGTGGCGCATGCTCATTGTTATCCCCATTTTAGAGATCAGACAATGAAGACAGGTTAAATAATTTCCTCAAGATCCCATCCTTGGTAGGAGAAGCTGGGAACCACCCACACAGAGGGCAAGGGTCTGCAGGAGCCGGGGACTGAGGAGCACAGGGCCCTCTGGGCAGGTGTCAGGAGAGTCTGGGCTGCCAGATGCTGGAGCTTAACTGCCCTTCAGGCAGGAGCCCCCAGCATGACACTGGGGAGAGGCAGGCATGAACCAGGCTTGGGGTTTCCAGGCAGGGGGTCTGCCAGGCCATCTCTCAGGGTCCCATCAGGGCCTTTCCCCCCATGCTGATTTCACTTTCCGGCCTGGGCAGTGGGAAGAAGGGGTGCTGGGATGGTCTGGGAAGCTGAGAGCCCCCTCCCCAAAGAGCAGCAGCAGATGGCAGCTGGCCGATAACGGAGCATGAAATCGGAGTGAGCCCGGGCCTCTGGGGCTTAGGCTGGGCACCTGGAGAAGGGGGGGGGGGCAAGGGAGACCTGAGTTAATCCTGTCCTGGCCCCCTGCTGACCCCCAACTTAAACGGGACCAGCTGAGAGGGATCAACGGCAGGCCCCTCCGTGGCCTTGGCCACCGCCCTCTCAGGGCACGGAGGGGAGGAGAGAGGCCGGGCCGTGTCATCATGGTGGGGTCCTCCCCCTGCCCCAGCTTCACCCTCAGGGAGGGCACAGGGGCCTTCTCAGGATGGCTTGTCATAAATGCCATGTCATCAGGAGCCAGGGGACCTGGGTTGCAATCTAGCTCCACCTCTGTCTTCCTGTGAAGCCCTGACTACATAGCATGGGGTGGGCTCAAAACTATGTTTGCAAAAGACGTCAGAGAGGACTGAGAAAAGGCAGCAGTTACTGAGGGGGCGGGCTCAGTCCCCCAGCCGGCCTCCTCTGGCGGGTCCACCCCTGATGGCAAGGCCCAGGCCTCTCAGCCGGCAAGTGCCAGCGCCAGGACCGGAACCACAGGGCCCTGATTCAAGGCACCCTCAGCCCTCCCACTGCCCAGGTGTCCTCGGTTGTGCTGTGTTGTCAGACCACGGCCCTGACTTTTGTGGAATCTGGTCACCAAACACCGACCTGTGGGGCCCCTTTCTCCTTTCTCCTGGGGAGGACCCCGCGTAGCCTAAAGTTCCACACGGAAGGGACAGTCCAGCTTCCCTAACTCCTGGTGGGCCCTAGAGCCCGTCATCTGTCTGGAGACCACCTCCCTCTCTGAGCTGCTGGGTGAGCTGAGCTGCTCTCAGGCCTTCTGTGGGGATAGAGGTCACCCCCATTCTGTTCTCTCTCCCCCCAGCTGGACATTTCTGTCCAGGCATATGAGCCACACAGTGGCCTGGCTGCTGAACCAGGAGGCAAGGGACCCCTGGGCAGTGCCCACCCACAGCTCCCTGGAGCCAGGCAGGAAACAGATAGATGCCAGCTTGCTCTCTGGTCCTTTGGGGAGCCAGTTTCAGTGCCCTTGAAGTATCTAGGAAGCTGGACTCAGAGGATGAATTCTGGCATGGACACTGGCCAGTGGGAATGAAAGCCACACTTAAGCTAGAATAGGGGCCTGTTCTGTGGACTGGGGGGAGGTGCAGGGCCACCTAGGGGTTGGCCTGGGGGCACTGTCAGTCAATCAGTAAAGAAATACTACAATATTTTAGTAATTGGTGTGGCTGTGTGGGTACCACTGAACGTCAATACACACACACACACACACACACACACACACACACACAGAGGCCCTGGGCCCCCTGAGAACTCAGTCCATTTCCAGGTGTAAGAGATTAAACTGCAGTGGCCAGTGGTGGGTAGGAAAGGCTGAATGTCTGCCAGCCTAGAATGTTCCAGACCTGTACTGGGAGAGCACCTGACCACCCATCCCAATCCTGCCTGTGTCCTAGCAGAGGATCCACCAGCTTCTGCCACGGGGTCTCCAGATGAGCAGGTCCCCAGACTGAGGAGCAGCAGGGTGAAGGGGGACACTCATGACATGGGGGTGTTGGGCACCAGGGCATCTCGGGGGCCAGGATGACCACCGTCTCCTTCCCCTGAAGAGGGTAAGAAACCTAAGTGCCAAGCTGCCTCAGCGCCAATATCTGGCTGCCCCCTGGGGTCTTTGGAATCTGTGGGTTAAGGTTCATTCATTCATTCATCTCGTGGCTACTCAATGGACACCTCCCAGTTGGTGGGATGTGCAGTTAACTTGGCTCAGGGACTCCTCCGCTTGCCGAGCCCCAGGCTGTAGGATGACTCGGGGTACTCCAAAGCCCCGCCTTTACCTCCCAGTACTTTAGCCTAATGA